CCACCCTGTTCTGCTACCCTCGGTAACAAAACAAAAATTGTTCTTCAGTGAGGCTCACCTATATGTGACTAATTAGGATGTACTGTTATTGAATGGATCAGATAACATTTTTCTTGTTTATCAACTCATTAAAATATTTAATAAAAGCATTGTTCAAGATTCTAGTTACTTCTTATTTTATATGGTTTTGGCTGAAATTAAGTCTGTTTATCATTTTTGCTATTGACTATGTTATTCTTGCAAGTAAGAAATCTCTTAAATTCTTCACAATTTCAACTACTTCATAATCATAAGGTTGGGTGGGAAAGGAAGAGGGTGTTTAGAAATTTGTCAGAACTACAGATAGGGAAGGACTACCGTGCCAAATCAAATAAAATTGTAAGCAAGTAACATGACATTTTATTTAAATAATATGCTTTTTAATTATGGTTGCTATGCTCTCACTGAAGGGAATATAACCATCTATATCCATCAGTTACAAAATTCCTCAGCATGTGCAGAAGAGTCATTTTCTAATGAAATAAGGAGTATTTAGACAGGCCCAGTCAGACTAGAAATGAGTTATTTTAAGTTAAAGCAAAAGCAAATACATAAATTCTTTCCTGTGCCCAGAAGCACCATTGAGAATTGGAGTGCTAGATCATTAATTTCTGTGAATAAAGTATGTTCTAAATGTTTCTCTAAAGGAGTTTTATAGAGATTTTATAAAGATTCAGGGATCATTAACATAAAAAGTTATCTTTTCCTCCTGGAAAGCTGACACTTTGGAACTTGCTTCTATGGAAATAGCTATATGAAGAGAGATACGACCCCGCGTTAAAATAAATAAATAACATTTCCTTAACCATCAACTTCATGTTGTAAGCAACACAGCAGGACGATGAAACTTTCACTGTTTCTCTGATGCAAATATTCCAATATAAATCCACAGGAATTACAATTCGTTAACTGCGATATAAATTCCCAGGTCCCATCAGCTCCTATCTCTGCAGTTTAACCCTCTAAGCTGGCGCTAAACAATGCATGAAATAAAACATCCAGCTGAAGCCCTGATCTAAGTCTGCCTCCTTACATAGTATTCTGAGATGATTGTCAGCCTCTGATTACTTCCCTCAGCAATGAGTTAATTTTACAGAAATCAGGAAGAACACTGGCTTAGGTACATTCTGTATCCTCTGCCTCAGAGCAATTACCAGTGGCCTTCCTTGAGAGTTTGCAGCTACAGAAAAAGACAGAGAACTACATGTATATGGTAAAGCCAAGAGTGGATCAACTGCCAAGAAGCTTAACAATGTATTGAAAGGCTCTTTCCAGCAAGTGAGATACTACTAATAGTTATTTTGTATAATTAAGCTTTTAAAATCCATGAATAGAAATAAATTGTAATTCAAAAGCACTATAATTTCTTTTTAAACTTCTGAAAACAGAGGAGAAGAGAGCACGTTTGTGCTTAAGACCAAGAGGGAACTGTTTTACATTACTATTTTACATTATAACCATAATTATTTACATTATAACCATAATTATTTACATTATTTATATTTTACATTATAACCGTAAGACATCTTAAGAAATACCTGACTACTTTTTTTTTTTTTTAACAAACATTTTACTATTTTACCAAGATTTTACTATTTTACATCCTGCAGAAATATTGTTCCCTGTTCAGATGAAAGGGCCTCTAGGTTTTTCCTGATTTCAGCAGTATAGAGTGTGTCATTAGGAAACACATCAATTGCTCAGGCAAGTTTCATTCCATTTTCTTGTATTTTAAGATCTTAACCCCAGCTCCCGTAATGTGTTTCACACAGTGGTATCAGAGACAGCAGCTGCTTCTAACATTTCTGCTCCCTCATAATAGTTTTAGAAAATTAATATATCCTTCATTGCAGTGTTTATTCATCTTTGCTCCTACGTCTAGCAAATAACTACATGGAAACACTATATAGCACTACAGCAAGTGCTAAGTATTTCATATTAGTAGTAAGCCATTTACACTACCCACATTCAACAGTTATGTGAGCAGAAGCAAGAATACATCAAAACCCTGTTGTTCAGCCACAGAAAACTTGCCTTATATTTAAGATCCTTCAGGACCTGTAACTACAACCCCAGCCAGTCAGCTGTAAGACTGCAAACTGACCACAATAAAAACCAACTATACCATACATGAACATAATCCTTAATCACTTGATATACTCTTCCAAACAATGGGTCAAATACTGCAGACTGACAAGATTAAAATCTATTATCTCTTTCAAATGAATTACCTTTGTATTAACATAATATTTAAAGAGCAGGGACTGACTTCAATATTGAAGTTTCTGTAGCTACACCACCGTATCTTAAAGGATGCAACCTTCACACAAACATTCAGACCAAAGAGACACTGGACTTACTGTATCAGAGGAGACAGAAGAGCTCAGCAGAAATCTGTTGCGATTGCTGGGAGCTCATGGGGACAATTGATGGTCTAAGCAGTAGTACCAAACACGTTATAGGTACACGCTGAGTTCCCACATGAACACTCCTATTTCCTAAAAAGAAGGTATTGTAGGAGATAACTCATCAACTTCAGACATTTTCACATAGCAAGTTTATGTTGGTGGTTTGCACACTAAACTCAACATTGTTTATTAATCCTAATTACAAATAAACTCTAATTAAATGCTGCCACTGCAGTTACTTTTTTACCATGAGGCAGCTAGCATGCTGGAATGGGTACTAAAATTACTATTCATGTTTGTTGCCTCTCAAGAACATTTGAACTGTGTTTACTTAGTTTGTAGTAGAAGGAATTTTATTCTCATAGTTGTCAGAACTACGCATTCAAGTAAAAATGTGAAATTAATCTCACCGCTTTATTGCTTGTATTCACTTGTCTAACATGAAAGTAACATCAATTCTTTAACTGGAATCTTTGTTAGATTAAGTACCCATAGAGATCCCAGCTGAAGTGCACAGCACTCGTGTCCTTGCTGTGGGACTATCACAATTAAAATCTTGCAGCTACTTGCTTTCTAACCAAAACACACATTTAGAACAACTTCATGCAGGCAGCAGTAAAACGTTGCCAGTTTTAAGTGCAATTTTTCTCCTAAAAGCAAGTTAATAACTTTTTCCTACCATATTTTCAAAAGCATAACTCTAACGGAAGAATATTACACTTGCTATAGTAACATTCTTGATTAAAAGAGAACTACTGCAGTCAGTGATTTGCAGTGATTTATTTGGTGATATGGAGAATTAAAAACTTTTAAAACTCATTTAGTGTACTGCAGCTGACATATGATTGAATATTACTGTAGAACCCCAGCTCCCAGAAGGCTTACTCCATACATTTTTATGTTTTCCTATCATATCCTAACCACAGGTCTACCTTGTTTTATTTTCCCTGAGCATGCTCCAGACATTACAGGCAGATATTTTATATTCAAGCAAAAATGGAGAACTGGTGAACACAATTACTCTGATCCTCATCATTTAGTTTGTCATCTACGATGCAAAGCAAATGGTAACAAATTATATTAAGGAAACTTAGCAATAGTCCCTTTTATTCCCTTCCGAAAGGTGTATGTGTGTTTTTCTTTACCCTACACCAAAAGCCTGGAATATTTTCCTGTGCTACAGAATTGCAAAAGCCTATCTGAAAGGATTACTTGTGAAAAGGAACTGACATGGGAAAAAAGTCTTGCCTCATAATGTCATATTTTATGTTTGCCACAGTTTAAAATATCTATTAGTTTTGATTAAATACACTGAAGTGTCATTTAAATTATATACACAGCTTAACTGAAAATTAACAAAGATTTTGAAGATCAGTTGGGAACAATGCCTTGGTATAAAAATCATTAGGAATTTATGACAGGCAAATATTTATTGCAAGTTAACTTGTCTTGCTTTATAAAATAATGTGTACTTGTATGATGTACTTGTATGATGTGTTTCTTATTTTATTTATTTTCATGTATTTTCACAATTCATTTTTATTAAAAAAAAAGTATTTTTTTTTTATAGCAGCCTTTGAATTTTATTTGTATTGAAGAATAGTAATAATGCTGGCAAAGCTACACTCTTAAGTTGTAAGGTTGGTGGTAGAATAGAATTGTTTACCAAACTGACAAAAACTTAAGGTTGACCTTGAAAATATAAAATTAGGCACAAAATTGCATTAACCTCTGAAATGCTAAGACTCAGCAGGACACTGTTGTGGACAATACCAAAAAGTTACAGGAGCCAATTGCAATACAACTAAGAGGACCAGTGTTACAGAATTCCTTTAAGTTGCAAGTGAATTTGGAGTGTAGTTATGGTGAATGAGCACTTTCGCCTTCTATGCAAGTGAAGAATGTACCAACCACCCATCTTCTTCCCCATCTTCCAATTCAATTTTGTTTGTTTTTCCCCCAGAAATAGCAGTTATTATAATTGATAATAACTAAGGGTCAAATTTATAAGAACACCTCATTTTGACATCTGGAATTTCTCTACAGTTGAAGTTCACCTAAGTATATCACTCTGATCAGAAGCCCTATATTTCTGCAAAAAAGGTTTGCAAGAGTATTTATACCTAAGGATTTTTCCCTTATATAGGAGCTAAAGAAGACAAATGGATTTGTTTCTTATAACTCCGTACTGTTGTAGCTACACATCCTAGTTTCCTAATTTACACATATTACCACACAACTTCACTGTAACATCTTTTCTGTAAGCCACAGGAAAGTATTTTCTTTAAAAACAAAGCAAAAACAACAGTACCAATATTGTTCCTCTGACCACCCCCAACTCCTCAGATAAATTCCTTAGTTATTGCCATATCAGTGAATTAATGCTTACTAATTCCTGCTTAAATGCTTTTGCTGAAAACAAAACTACACTATTACCATGCCATTATTTTCGGTATAACAATTAAGAGCTTCATGCTTGTAGAATGCAACCGAGTTTATGGGAAAACGGCATCCTCAAAGAAAATAAAACCAGGAGAAAAATGAAGGGGTTTTATTATTAGGGTACATACTACATATTGGAGGTTTGAGCAATCCCTGAATGTGACTACAGATTTAAAGAACACAACTACACAAACTAAGGGTTAGTTAACAAAATAAACATTTCATTAGAAATAATTTTTACTTTTTAAAATCACTAGCTGTATGGCCTGACCACTTGCACTGCTTTAGCATCAAGACAGACCACCTTATTTAAAATCCTCCTGAACAGACTTGTAAATATTTCATGATTAAATTTCAGTGAACTGCAAGAGAGAAACCTGTTAACATCTTGCAGAAAAAGACTAAAATACATATGCACAAATATCAGAAAATGAGAAGGATGCATAAGGAAACAAAAGAATATGGAGAAGCCATAAATTAAAAGACAAGGGATTTTTGTTGTTGCTGTTTACAGTCACTTTGGTAACAACCCCTGCATATAGTAAAAGCATAAGTGTATTAAGGCTGTTTGCAGCACAGAAAACTGAGACATTTTAGTTCCCTCTACACAAAATAAATAGCACCAAACTTCTATGAGCCAGTTTTCTCCTACTCAGATATTTTGATATCAACTTTTTATTATGTCCTGATTCTACTGATCATCTTGCATTATCACTTTGTAGTCAACCATGTATAAACGCAGGGTGCCAAGCTCTTTTACTCTACTGAAACTGAAGCAAAAAAGGTGTCCAGAAGTTATTTTGTCATACACAGGAAGGAAGTGAGCAATATAACCTTATTGCTCTTGATATACAACCAGCACTGCAAGTTCCTATACTGCCAGCAAGCTGGCAACAGGTGCAATCCTTAGTTAGGAGGTACACATTACAGCTTTTCAGTTTATTTCCACCAGATGGCAGGTGAAAGTTTGATTTCCATATACAAAACTCCTCTAACAAATTATAATAGCAATACTGCTCTTGAAAGTGGCATCTTGATTTGTGAGTGTTTTGATTCACTCAGAATCAGGCAGGTTGCTGCAAGGTTCTAGCTTCTGGATTAGCAGTAACTTAAACTTCAAATTTAAAAATACATCAGTTATTAGCTTAAATATACCAAATCATTCAGATTACACTCTCTTGGAAAAAATAAGACAGACGAAGAAAGCTAGTATATACCAGGAAATATCACATTTCTCTGCTGAACAATTTTAAACACGACCAAGACAGTAAGAACACAGTACAGTTCGCCTCCACCATATTTGCACACTTCTGGCACTGAATCAACTCTCCCAGTCTCGTTCTCCTTTATTTTAGTAATTGTGCTGCCCACATTTAAGAGGCCTGGAAAAAAAAATAAAAATAAGAAGTGATATACTTAGCCTTCTCCAAAAAGGGAGGTATTTGTAACAAAAATGACAGGGTTATCCAGCAATAAAGAGCATTTCTCTTGATAGTGGAACATCTGAAATATAGTAGTTCAGTCACTTTTACTGAATTTTATCTCAATTCTTTACAGCTTTTCAAGATTTGGCTTTTATCTCCTCTCCTCTAATACTAAGATAATTCAGAAAGAATTTACAAAACCCAGGACATAGAATGGACAGTTACCAAGCTGCTAAAGCCTCAACCAAACTCAGCAATCTGGATTTATTAGCTTCTGGACACAAAACATTATCTGGAAACTAAATGGCGACATTTATTAAAATTAAGCATACATGTATCTGTAGAATAGATCTATGCCACATCCAATACAGTTTAATTATAGTAATCTACACAGAATAGTATATTTTTAATCTCAATGAGAAAGAATGGAATTACATTCAGAAAGCAACAGGATTCAAAAACATCCCTTAGGTTTTTACAATGTAAACTATGCATTCGATAGTTATATATGTGTTTCTATATTCCTTACTACAACTCTCATGCTTAGAGCTGTCCTGGACTTCACAATACAGTAGCATACCTTAAAGGTGGTCTAGATCTGGCTGAGTTAACTAAACTATTATTGTTTATCATTGAAACATTTTATCATGACATGGTACTTATGTGATCTTTGCACCTTTGAAAAAACGCTATAGGGTAAACACATAACTACATACTTCATAATTTGAAAACAGATAATGTTTTGACTTACAATTTTTGAATTGTAATGAAATATTTTTATATTTCCTCTCATAAAAAAAGGTAGAACCTGACTATGCTATTTAAAGGTTGCTCTTTCAGCTGGAGCTTTAACTGAATTAGAAAGTCTGATTAAACCCCTATGCAATAGGCATCAGTTTCTACATATATTTATACAGAACAAGGCAACCATAGTTTTTTCATCATCACTGCTCGTGTTTCAAAAACAAACAAAAAAAACCACACATTATTATAGATCAGATTCGGTAGAAAAAAAAATAAAATCACAAAAAGAAACAAATCCAATTTACTGTTTTATATTTACATGTGCCTACATACAGACCTGCTATTACAACAGTGAATGCACATATAACAGAGCTCAATTTCTGATTGTAAGCAGACAAGAGTAGGCACATTGGGTGGCACAGTTAAGCAAATTAGGAAATATGCAATGTAGCACTACATATCATCAGTTGGTGAACTGGTCAAAACTTCTGTTATCAGTTTTTAAACTTCAGCTGGTCCACAATACCTCAGTACCACTTCTCATTAACACCAACTGAGAGAAACATACGCAACTTTTCCATCTAAACTGGTTTCTCACAGAATATCCAGTTAACTCTGCGTCTCAAGCCCTGCCAGCAGTACCTGTAGCTGGGCTCAGGGTATTTGATAACCAAGAGAATGAAGACTAGTGACACGCTTGCTCTGCCTTGCACCAGGATTCCCTATAGAGTTGAACATCTCTATGCAGGAGACAAAGTACTCTTGGGGCACTCCAGGACTGCAGAATTCAGTCTTGGCCTGGGGAAACAGAACTGATTATCTTTTGTTCCAAGAATGCAGCACATCCTCTCATACTGACTTCCATAACAAACATGGAGAGACAAAGTTATCTAGAAACCAATCAATTCTGCTGTAGTCATTATATCTCTTGGAGAAAGGAGGACATAACAAAGTTCTGCCTGATAGTCACTTTGTGTAATGCACTGATACCAGGTGCTCAGATAAAGCAGTGATGTGCAGAGTGAAAAAAAGAAGGTATACAACAAAACACAGCATGTCATCTGTATTATATAATTAAATTGTGGGGGACTAGTGGCAATTAAAACAAAACAAAACACCACTGCTTTACACTACCAAATTCAACTTTGATCATGTCCTCCCTCTCACTTTTTGTCTGCACACCCAAGCTATCCCACAAAATAGCTTAACATTTAAGACAGCTGTTTCACAGAGTCTAAAGAGGCCCACCCAATTACCCACTTTGCCAAACATTTCAAGCACCTGCCTGCCTATCTCACATTTGGTCAACTAGCTGAAAAAATAGCTGAAAGCTATCTGCACCAGGGTTGCTGATCCCATTTAGTGCTACAAGGTACTCCCTTGTACTGTCTCCTTCACTGATCAAGCTATTTGAGTAATAATTAGTGAATTAGGAATAAGAATGAATGGAATAAGAAGTAAGAAAGCATGTAAGCAGTTAGAAGAAGTGGGAGGTCAACAGTAGGCAAAGAGTAGTGCCATCATTCGCTGCATCTAACGGAAAAACTCTGTTATCACTTTTAGTGCTCTGCTGATGCCCATCATAGTGATCTTTCCTTAAAGTCTTGTTTATCTCCTAAACTTAATCTAAATCTACATGAGTATAGAACAAAAAGAATAATGATAAGCACAAAATTACTGAGAGGCAAAGGGGTGTTTTTCCTAAAACACCACAGTTGTGTACCTCTGCAGCCAAATGGACAGTTCTGTGCCTGTTAAGTATGTGAGTTGAACTAGTTGAACTGCTGCTGTGACAGCTCTTGTTGCTAAATCAGGATGCTTAAGGACACCGTATCACTGAGCGTTAATGCTCTGTAAACAATGGTAGTCATAATCCCTTCTGTCTCCATGTAGGACAAAAAAGAAAAGAGTCATGTTATTTCAATATTAAACAAATAGAGGAATTACCCCACCTGCTACTCCTTTTCAAGCCTCAACCATCCCACAAAAAGTTTATCATATGAGCCAGGCAGCAGGCTTCAAAATGTGCCAAATGAGATGGTCCAATCTCAAAATGAAGAAAATGTATCAACATTTGCACTTACAATCACACTTATGTCTGACTCCTGTGGAATAGAGGTGAAGAAGAAACTGGCTGAAAGACGTAGCTAGTCTTTTGCCAGGCCATATTCCAAAAGTGAGAGAAGATGGGAAGGAAGATGGACAAATGCAATGAAATACAGGTGGCAAGAATACACGGGAGATGAGGAGACAAGCAAGGCAGAATTTTGCATTTTATAGAAAAGGACAAAAATATTGGTTTCAAACCAAAACAGAAGAACCATCAATGTCTGAAAGGTTTAATTAGAGCACTGCAGCTCCCTTGAATTGTCATTTTCATGCTTTACACCTGCAACCTAATGTCTGCTATTTCTGTGCAGCTGTGCAGTGCAAAAGGTGAATGAAATAAACTTTCCCAGTAATGCAGAGAGAATCAAGATCGTTCTGCTACTCTCAGCCCTGGAATATGGTGATAGCTCTGGCTGAGATGAATAGAGAAGCACGGATGTAGCCCCCCAAGGGAAATCCCACACATGACTGTGAGTGGTTCAGGTACCTGAATCCCAGCTCTCCAGTTGTTATTTGGTGCTCAGTTATGCAGCTGGCTATTTAACAAGTGTGCACCAAATTTAAAAATTATGGTTCGGCATTTTTAAGAGAAAGACACATTTCTAATATAGGAATCAGTCACATAGGAAGTTCTGATTAGACTTGAGTTTATAGTGAAAAAGGAATTAAAAACCATAGTATTACAGTGATAGTTTTGTTAAATAGAAAATGCTGGTTTGAATCAAAGAGTAAGTGGCTTGTTTAAAGAAATGTTCTTCAAGTGTTTTGAAATGAACTGAAAACAACTTTTCTTTCAGCTGTAAATAATGTAGTTTAGGAGATAAGTTTTTTTTTTTTTTTAATCAAAAAGAATAAAAAAATATTTTTTTATCAAAAAAAAATAGAGAAACATTTAAAAATTGTTTGTGTAAACATGCCTCACTACAGATTGAAACCAAATCTGATGAGAATCCTTGTCAGGTCCAGCAACAGCAGGATGATTTTTTGTACTGATCAGAACTGGAATTTAGTGCTTTAAATCACTGTTCAAGAAAAAGGTGTCTGCACAAGAACTACTTGCACAATTTCCAGCTATTAGCCAACTTCCAACTCTTTAGGATTATTTCCTACTCTATTTGATTACAGCTTGCACCATTTGTTCTGGCTAAAGACAAGGTTTTGCCTGGTTGCAATGCAAATTGTCAAAGAAGGTAAGGACATTTACAGCTGCTTTCATGGTCCATGTGTTAAGCCATGCAGATTGCAGTCTGGACGTTTGGATATGAAATCACTGCTCTGTATGCCAAAAAGAAACCAACCTCATTCGGTGCAAGTGAGCATAGACTGCAACCTCAAAATGACACAGGAGGGAAGGTTCACCAGCATGCTGAATAGCTACTGCAAGTTACACCCCGAACATTCAGCTGGCAGACAATAATATATAGAATCAGCTGCACTAAGTAAAATGAACACATATACCTAGTGGCGAAACTGCCTGCTTTTTCAAACTAGATATCTTGCATTTCTGAGCAGTACCTGATGAGACAACGAAACACTGGTAAGTGCAAGTTACATCGTGCATTGGTTTGAAATTTGCTGGTGTAGCAGAGAAAATGCAAGAGTTAATTTTTTTTTTTTTTGAAATGTGGTCAAAGATGAAAACAAAGAATTTAGTTGAGTGGAGAAGTAAACATCACTGAACAAGTTAAAGACAGAAAAAACTACTTTTCCAAGTTCTCTTCTAAATTGTCCAAAGTAGAAGATCGTATTGCTTAATTTCTGTATCAATCACACTTATAATTATTTATGACACTTTCAGCCCATTCATATTAGAAAGATATTCTTGTAAATTAATATTAGAGGGCAAAAAGAAAATCTGAATTGGAAGAGCCAAAATATATCCTCAGCTAGACTGATGGCAAGCAACATATTCTCTGGAATATGCAGTATATACTACAGAAAGTCATAGTGCCTCTCTTCATTCAGTATAATACAGAATCATTACTCTGGTAGTAAACTATCAAAATAAAGCCACCATAGTTAGTCGATCACTAAAGTTATCTTAGTATTTTTTTTACATAGTATTTACATAGTATTGTAAATCTTTAGGAACAGAATGACCACACACAACTAGACCATCTGTCTTAAATGCTACAAGAACTGTTCAGAAGAGGAAGAAGAAAAAAAAAGAAGCACGTGAAGCTTGTTCTTTTACAGGCTTTTGTTTCATTTTTGATCGAAAATGAGCATTTGGGCACCTCTTGACTGAATAACAACCAAATCATAATGATCATAAATCAAAGAGAGGAACTACTTTGAAGGAAACTGCCTCATGGTAAGATTCTATATTTGAAAAATAACAATCTGTACTCTCCTTCATATAACCAGAGCCATTTTCATTGAGTTTCACTAGACTAAAACTTGACTTTAAATGGATCGAAACAAAACCCGTAACATTAAATTGTGTTTTGGAATACAGAAAAATACTAAAGAAAATCCATGAGTAATCAGAAAGCCAAAGGGATAATATTAATAAGAAAACTGTGAAAAATCCTGTAATTTATCTCATAGCAATTGAATGCATTCTTAATCAGTGACTTTTGTTACAAGGACAAAGGAAAATGAGATCATCTTTCCAAAGAAGATCTCTATTCAGACTGCAGACAACTCAGTTCTTAAAGGCTGTATGATTTCAGTAGTCTCTACGAAAGCACATCGTACAATCTGTTATGCATCACAATCCTGGCAAATATAGAATATTTATGTCTACATTGTGGAAAATTAGGCCAGAAAGATATCAGAGAAGATTGTTAAATACATAGATATACTTTAAAATACCCGTATGGCTAGCTTAGACTAAAATTTGTTCTTTAGGCTGCTCACTATTCCCTGTAAATATTGCCCTTACGAGATGAAAGGAGCTCATTTCTGCGGTCAATTTTAGAAGTTTGTTGTCTTCTCTTACACAATGGATCAGAAATTCTTCCCATATTCTGTTTCTGCTCCCCCAGTATACAGCTAAGAACTTAGAAACGGTTGGAGGGATATGAAAATTGTCCACAGTAAATATAGAAGTCAGTGCAAATTCAGCTGCTTATGCCAACACTTAATGTGTTCCACAGTCTTGGGCAATAAAATCCCTGGGTGAGGCACCAAAAAAACCTGGCTAGAAGATCAGTTCCCTGTGAACTACTTTTCATTAATTCATCTGCTACCATATTGCAGTTACACATTAAAACCACTGTATTTGTTTTAGAAAGGAGAAAACAAAAGACAAAATGGATATGAAAACTCACTTTTTTTATTGTTTTCCCCTTCTCATATACTTTATTAGCATTCCTCCTTCAAGCGACCAGGGTGTAATTTAATATGAATGGAGCAGTACTTGGTTCAAAACTGAAATTCTGTTGCAAAGTAATTAGAGCCCAAACACACTCAAACAGTTTCCAGGCTAACAGCTAGATAAAATGCTTGGTAGCAATTTGGACTCTGATTGAACTATTTTCTCACTTAAAAAACAAAATAGGAAACATATTAGCAGAGGACTAGAGAGGAAGAGACCAAGTAATTCACTGTGATATAGATCTTATGGTAACTGAAACTTGTAATTTTATATGAAATGGAAGAGTTAGGACAGCATAACTGTCAGGCTCTGTAACACAGGTGGGTTTGCTTCTTCAAGATTTCTCTCAATTTTTTTTTTTTTTTTTTTCTTTTTCCCCCCTCTTCATCAGCATATTAATGCTCTTCATCATCATTCTTTGGAAGTGTGACACATATCACATTCCCCATCCTTCTGAGCATATGGTCTGGAACTATTCAATAGCTGCAATATGATGATTCCAGGCTGCTGAGCGCAACTGATTGGCACATTAAACTGCTGGGAGACTCTTATCTGGGGCAGACAGGATTCTTTCCAGTGTAGTCCTAAGGGGCCCTCAGTAATGAAAAATAGTAATTCTAAGTCATTTCCACCTGTCTGTTGCCAGGCATTTTAAAATGTAGTTTCAATAGTTTTTCTTTCCCTATAACCCTTATTAAAGCAAATCAGGTGTAAGCCAGAAGAACTTGGAGAGCTTCACTAGAGACCCTGCAGTTATCAATTTAAGAATAGGCATTTCAAAGCTTATTTACCCTTGCTTTTAACACTGTAAGGCAGCCTAGTGTACCAAAGATGTTAATACAAAAAGGCTATCAAATTAACCAAATAAATACAATAGCAGAATGTTTTGTTTATATTTGAATATAATTTTGAATCAATTTTACTTTTAAATCAATAAAAGATAAAGAAAACAATTATTTGTTTTGCATATAAACAAGAATAAGAAAGATGAAATCTAATTGAAGATATAAAATTTATCAGATATAAATAGATTCCTTCAGCCTCTGCAGCCTGCTCTTAACTGTGATTGTAGCGGTAAGCACGCCTGCTCTTGCTAGGAATGACACTGAATTAAGCATTTCCTTCTGATCCCCATTTCATCATCCAAAGGAAAAAAATCCACTTCTGGATTCATGATTCTTTACAAAACAAGGGAAAGATTTACTGCGAATAGTGATTGCCTGAAGAATTACTATAGGAATTGGATAATGGTATTATGATCTAAGGACAGAGTTTTAGTGGCTGACATAGTGGCAATTTAAATGGTTTACATGTATTGCTTTTTAACTCAATAATACTTCACTTTCTTTCATCTACAAAACTAGAAAGATTGATTTTTTTTTCCCCATCTGTGTATGTTTTATTATGTTTAGACCCTTAAACAGTGGCTACATTATTCCCTTCCAGGAAATAATGTTGAATTCCAAATAGATACAAATATGTACAGGACTACCAAATACACATTCTGCAGTAGAGCCCCAAACTAGATAAATGGAGCATCACTAAGAAGTCTTGCAAATATTCTCTATGGCTTCACAAATTTTATGCATGCAGTTTTCTTATTTATGTTTCAAACTTTGCTATCATTTCTTGCAGTGGATGCTTCACACCTCTAAATGCTAAATAATGGCTTCTCGAAGTTTATGAATTTGCTGCTCTGTCATGGCCTTGCAGCTTACACAATACAGATACAGAAAGGATTTCATTCTGTTGGATTCAGCCATTAATACTACACAAAGTGTTGGAAATTACAGTTCTTTCTTTTGAGATTGCAAAAAGATTCCAG